CTTTTCGATTTTGGTCTCCAGTGCCATGTCCGATAGGGCAATGATCTTGTCCCTGACATTCTTGAAACATGCACTAAATATTCGCACTTTCTCCTTCGTATGGTCGTATTCATATCTTCAATACCGTTCTTTCCAACACTTCACTAGTTGTAATAATTAAGTCCATATTATTAATAAAAATTCTTTGTAAACATTTATTTTGTTTGAAAGCTTTTAGGACTTTCGTGGAATTGCTTTCTTTGTTATTTTTCATATCTCGGAACCATACACCAGAGGAAGCCGAAACATTGCCATGATATATTTTCTAATTTAGTTTTCAGTGGGTTGAACTTTGGATTTCAATAAATGGTGCCTCCTTCTACGAATAGGTTGAAAAAAGCTCTCCGAAAAAAAAAAGACAAAGATAAAAGCAAAAAAATACTTTCATCTACTCTTTACACGAACATCACGACAGAAAATGAATCTCCTTGGAATAACAGTAAAGAGAACTAAAATCGAGTTACTTCTCCATACAGTATAGAAACCAACAAGAGCTCGTGACTTACAGAGGCACTAATAGGAGCAAACAACAATCCCAGTTTTATCACGACACAGCGTTCACAACAAGAGCTTGGAAATGCCTTTCCAATGGCTAGCCAAGACTTCTAGTACATTTAGTCCTGATGGGGAGATAGCGGATAGGTTGAAGGAAAGGTCCTTGGAGATTTTATAAATCACAGTTTGACTCTCCCTGTGGTTTCAAGGAGAAAGAGCTGGTTGCTAAATAATAGCCTGGTCCTTGTAACCAGAACAAATTGAGAGAGAAATAGAGGGGGGGGGGAGAAAGGAAGCAGGAGGGAGGGAGAAGATAGGTAGGTAGGTGGGGGAGTGTGGGGAGGGGTGGGGAGGGGTAGGGTAGAGGGAGTGTGTAGATGGTGACGTTTCAATGTGTTTGAGTGGTCTCTCTTGAAATGAACTTGACTTTGCCATCAAAGGAAGAGAATAAAGGTTAGATTATAACTTTGATAATGAATCTATTCCTTGAAGATGCTGCCAAAATACTTTCGGCCTTCCTCTATCTTTATTCGTAATTGTTTATCTGTGTTTGTTTACGTTGTAACTGAGAAAAGGAAAGTGGTGTTCATGCTGTTCTTTAAAACGTCAGAAGGAACTGTAATATTCTTAGTTAGTTATGAGAGAAGACAAGGTATGATACTTTACTGAGTCTCCCATAGCTGTCATCAACAGTATGTTTTCACCAGTTTCTATGACCCAAATTATGAATGCTCTTTACAAAATACACATAATCAAAACCTCTCCATTTCTATGCCGTTCTGTCTCTTTGTCTCTGTCTGTCCATGTCTGTCGCTCTGTCTATCTGTGTGTCTCTTTTTATATATA